TTTCGTTCCTGTGATGGATAAGGCAATTGATCTCTGAAGTACAAGCTAATGTTAGTGATGGTTGCACTTGTCTGTCTTTTTTTCTTCTGTAAGTTTCATGGTCTGGTTTTGAGGAAGTTGGTTTTCCTTTTCTACAAGGGATATCTTTTGAAAGCGATTACCATGCCTGTGACAGGTCATTTGTTGAACATTCTTATTTTTTACTGAATAATTTTGTTGCTTTTTGATTTTGTATTATCAAATTTGCATTCAATTGTCTGATGCAATTGCCGTCAGTGTGAGTATTTGATTAGTCTTTTCTTGAGTGGTTTTCCATTTAAGGAGGCTAGGCATATTCTAAACTGCTTTTAGTTTCTTGTCTGACATAAATTCCTGGAAACTTGTTCCAGAATCAATTCTTCATCTCAGGTCTTTCTGGAGACGAGATCATACGGAATCGTGTATTGGAAGCATTATACCAACGCATTATGCGAGCTTACAAGGAAAAGAAGTGTTTCAGAGTTATAATTGTCATACCACTTCTTCCAGGCTTCCAGGTACTATGCTTGGTTGTGTTCCCCTTGTCCAATATGAGTAATTTTGCTTTATTTATTTATTTTTTCACTCTATATACTTTGGCAGGGTGGTGTGGATGATGGTGGTGCAGCATCTGTGAGAGCAATTATGCATTGGCAGTATCGAACAATATGCAGAGGACGTAATTCGATATTGGACAATCTTTATGATCACATCGGACCTCGAGTGCATGACTATATATCTTTCTACGGTCTTAGAGCTCATGGTAGACTTTTTGAAGGTGGTCCTGTGGCCTCCAGTCAGGTGACTGTGCAATTTCTTTTTTCAAGTTTTGTGTATTAAGAAGTCTCTTGCAAGCATCTGATTGCTAGTTCTATGACCTTCTGATTGTTTAGTTGTTGATGGTATTTATGTGTAAATTTGACTCGTTTATGCACTTTACCGTTTAGGTGAGTGAACTGTCCATTTGTTAGTTATTAGACAGGCAGGACCTATCTTTAGTTGATTATTTAATAAGGATATGTTAGTTCGTTATTTGGTATACATTATATCTAAGTGTAGAAGTTTGCAAGTTGCATATTTGAAATTGGAAGAAATGCTAAGGTAGTCCTTTGTTATTTTTATTTAAGATTTTTACGCTAAAATATTATTTAATTTTGGTAACTTTGCATTGCTTTAACTGTACCCCTTGCAGCCGCAAAGACAACTCTCTTATTTATTTATTTATTGCTATCTGTCCCTTTATTTTCTTTTTTTTTAACTCTTTTTTTTAAACCCTGTACATTTTCACCTCCTTTCTCTTCCACACCTTGGGTCCTGTCCACCTTTCTGGGGTTGCCCCTATCTTCATTCTATCTTGATGTAGAGCCACTTGTATTCTTCCGAGCAGAATTATGCACGGTAGAAAACAGCAGCCCGTACTCAAATGAGTTGTTTGTTTGATTGATACTACTCGTAGTAGTTACAGCTCATGAAGCCATGGAACTGCTTAGTATCTAAAAAGATGAAATTCATGGAAACATGTAATAGTCTGATGGTTACAGCACTGAAAAATAAATTTGTTGAATGTTTGGATAATTGCATTTCATTTCCACTACACTTGACTTGCAAAAGCAAATCAAGGGGATAAGAATTCACTGTTTCTATTCACTACAAAGTTCTCTTTTCTGCTTCTACAACATAAAATTGATGATGCTATTGGTGATTTTTTCATTTCTCTAGGTGTATGTACATAGCAAGATCATGATAGTTGACGATTGTATAACTCTAGTTGGATCTGCTAACATCAATGATAGAAGTTTGCTTGGCTCAAGGGACTCTGAGGTATATATTTTATTCCTTTTCTTTATCTGTGGATTTTTTATACAGATTTAGTTGAATGTTCGGGGTGGTTTACATTACTCTCTTATTCTATTTCCATTCTCTTCAGTCTTTATTCATGGGTTCTTACTTGAGTTTGTTCCTTGTAGATTACGGGTGGTAAATTGCATCTTTATACCTCTGTAAAGGACTTGTACCTTGCTTATTCTGGTCACCAGGCATCACTGTATAATCATTTAAGCAGAGTGATTGATGTCAGCTGCTTCGTCTATTTTATTCAAAGAATAATGGAAAGCACATACTTTTCCTTTAGCTTTGTTAGAAAAGGAAGAATACTTCTTCTCTGAGTCAAATTTATCTTGGTCTTCCTCTAGCAAGCATAAGTTCCTGAGCTTCTTAGCCATTTCTTAGCATCGCAATAATTATTATTTTTCACGTCGTTCAGCCCATTCCTTTTGTTCTTTATGCATAGAAGTTTGTTTGGTAAGCTATGCAAGCTTTGTCTCCTAGCTGATAAAATGCACATCTAAATACATCTTGGTATGGGTGTTGACTTGTATGTCATATTGCAGTACTCTGAACCTCAAAAAATTTGTTGAATCTTACTTCCACTTCGTTACATAATTTGGGATTGCTTATCACTAGGAATTTGGTTTGCTTTTCACTAGGAATTTGGTTCTGATTCGCATTTTAAATTATGCCCCTGGTTGCTGACCAGCCATGTTACTTATGTTGTTTCAGATTGGTGTACTAGTTGAGGACAAAGAACTGTTTGATTCATTAATGGGAGGCAAGGCATGGAAGGCTGGGAAGTTTGCATCGAGCTTGCGGCTTTCTCTATGGTCTGAGCACCTTGGTCTTAGAGCTGGAGAGGTTAGTTTCCATCACCCTTTTGATACCGTGTGATAGTCATACCTCTCGAAATCATTTCTTCTATGGAACTCCTTTTTTTCTTTTTTCTTTCCCCATTCTTTCTAGGAGGGATATGCATAGCCAATTTATGTGTCATTCACAGAAAAGCAAGTAGAAAAGGACTAGGTAGAATTAATAGATGAAAGATTTCTAACCTCTGGCCTCTGCATCTGTCTTTCATCTTTTTCTGAGATGTGAGATTTGGGTGATAATTGGTTATCCTCTTTTAGGTCCATCAAATAAGAGATCCGGTGATTGATTCTACGTATAAGGGAATATGGATGGCAACTGCCAAGGTAAAATGCCATTTTCAAGTACGTCGTCAATGAAATGTTTGCTCATCTTTGTCAGGATATGGTTGTTGCCCATTACTTCTATCTTGATTCTCAGTGTATAATTTTCTGTCTGCAATAATAAAGATGGGAGTTAAACTCCAGAGTATGATTTGATGGAAGAGTCATTTTAGTTACTTGAGCCAACAAGTTTGTAATCTTCTCGAATGTAAAAGAAAGAATTCACAATGAGTAAATCTTATATGCACTGACAGCGTATACAATATCACGGTTGGATGCACGACACATATGCAAAATTTGGGTTTCAAATTCAAATTCGGATTATGTGTCATGTATTTAATGGTGAAAGTGTGTACACGGTCAGTGTATAGAAAATTAATCCATTCACAATGAGTAATCTTATATACTGGCTTTTATTTACCTCCAACTAACTTCTCAATGTAATGAGTAAACTAACTTCTCACAATGAGTGAACTCATATGTGCTATGAGTTAGGGTTTGTAACACTGGCTTTTATTTACCTCCAACTAACTTCTCTGTGTAATGTGATTTTGCCAGACAAATACCATGGTCTACCAAGATGTTTTTTCTTGTATACCCAATGATCTAATCCATTCCAGGTGCGTTCCTTCTTTCAAAGATTTGTTTTTCTTTTTGTTGTTGATTGTATAAAAATCTTTGTAAGCTTGCAGGGCTTCTCTCCGTCAATGCATGGTCTACTGGAAAGAAAAACTTGGCCAGGCAACCATTGATTTAGGAATAGCCCCAAATAAGCTCGAGTCTTATCAAGATGGGGATATTAAATGCACTGATCCCTTGGAGAGGTTAGAATCTGTTAGGGGGCATCTTGTTTCTTTCCCTTTGGATTTCATGTCCAAAGAAGATTTAAGACCTGTGTTCAATGAAAGCGAGTACTATGCATCATCTCAAGTTTTTCACTGAGCATCATCTTTATTAACTACGGCTTGTATATAGCTGAAAATCATCTTCCACGTGTCTTTAAGTATGGTGAGACATGCACCTCAGGCGGAGAGTACACACACAGCGGGAGCCCCCCAACCAGAGAGAGAGAGAGAGAGAGATGGAAAGGGGTGGTGGTTGACCAGAAACTTCAGTTCGAAGCAAGAAAATTCAGAAAAAAAATGGAAGTTATATATAGGCGCTCTTTAGCAGGGCTCTTAATGTTCGAGGAAGTGGAAGTTATATACAAGTTTATCTGCTTAATGTTTCTACATGTACATGAATGAAATTAAAGTTTCATGATTCACTCTGGTGTTCCTCAAGGCATTAGTCCATTGTTGACACCTGAACTATCATATCTGGTGGTCTACTTTGACAATAAGCGCCGGAGTTTGCCAGTTGCGGGAAGCTCTTTCATTAAGATTTGCAGTTCTGTTCATAGAGGAGGATGAGGATCCAGTGACAAAGAAATGATTGTTTACCTTCTCAACCGATAATATTCAGCACGATATCAGCAGGCACCGAAGATATCTAAATTCTTCATGGGAGTGATATTTTATGTACTTTGAAAGATTCACAAAAATTTGTGCACAAGACTTCTGTGCAATATAGATTATAGAGCAATATGGTTCAACCAACCTCCCCTCACCCCTAAAAAAATAAAAACTGAAAAAAGGAACATTGTGGACAGACGTTGATGACTTTTTTTTTTTTTTTTAATGGTTCCTGACACAGTTATAACTTGTTGGCCATGTATCTCAAATTATTTCTGGATCTTTTTAGGTCCGCTCCTCCTTCTTAGTGTGAAATAGATTAGATTATGCAACTGTTGTCGTTTTCAAAAAAAATATATATATATATATATCTCAAATTAACTTTTACATAAATTAGTTCCTATAAATGATGAACGTGTGTTCAGCAACGTCATGTTTCCCTTGGTCTATAACGCCTGGGCGGTGGAGAGTCTGGGCTACATTATGATGGTTAGTTTAGAAAGTGCCTTCAGATGCTCAGACCAACAATCCGCTTTCTAGTTGTCTCCTGCCCCTGTTCAACTCATTTCGAATTTCTGTTTGCGGTAGTCTCGCCTCCACTTTTGACACGGTAAACATGTGGAAGAAAAGATGTATCGTCTACTGAAAAATGATGGAGCACATTGGACCTTAAAGGGAGATAGTATAAGATTGATTAAAAATCAGCAATCCAAACGGGCCCACGAGGGAAAAATCAGAATCCAAGTGGCCGAATCGATAACTAAATTGGTCCAAAATATTTCCGGCCTTTTTAATTTTGGAAACCGAGGGAACATTTTTAATCTTCATCTGGAGGTAGCTTCTGAAGCCCCAAACTAATCATAAAATTGTCTTTTGTCTTTTGGAAATCCATGTCTTGATTTACTTAGTTGACATTGATCATGTAAAGTGCTCTCAAACTTTGGATATTTTTATCTTAATTTCTCGTTTACGATCAACAATACCTCAGTGAAACTCTAATAGCTCCGCCTGTTTGTAGAATTGCTTCAATGGCAACATCTGCTGTACGTTTTGGTGCGTTGGTGACTCTTGAGGAGCTAGTTCCCTCCTCCCCACAATTCACGCAAGGAGCATCGCTTCGAGTTACTGGAAAGTAGGTGTTTCCGTGTTGCTCCTTGTTGCAAATGCTTCTTGAATTTTGTCTGTTTCGATTTGTGAAACATATAGAGAAAAAGTTAATAAGATGGGGAGAAAGCAGGGCCACTTCTCAACTCGAAAGTATGGTAGTGGGTTTTTCTGATAGGCCCTTTCATCGGCTCATGTCATGGTATCTTTGCACACTTGTTAGTGACAATAATGTTGCTTCTTGCTTTTCAATAATTAGCCACCATGCTGCTTGTTTTTCGCCAACACAAAATGTCTCAGTACTCCTGTAATCAGAAGTTTATTTATTTATTTTTATTTATATCGATGTTTATCTGCAACTATACTTCAACTTCAAGCGTGGTGGTATCATCATTGCCATTTACTTTTCTTACCATCATATCAATGTACCACGGTAAAATTTCTGAGGTGTTTCGAGTGCAGAAGAACATAAAATTATACAAACTTACACGGGATTCTAAAGAAAGTTCAGCTCCTTAATTGTTTTATGATATTTTGTCGGATATGCCACTTGTGTGCTACAATCTAAAATCAATTATGCAGCTTTGAGAGGGTTAATTTGTTCTATTTTATAGGCTACAGGAGTATGACATAGAGACTGCAATTGCGTCAATTGTCGAAGGCAATGCTTCCTTAAAGATTGACACGCAACATTTGAAGGTCAATCTTCGCATAGGTTCCTTGTACCAGTTCATTGGAGAACTGCTTATTGACCCCAGCAATCAGGTATGCATGTCTATGGTGATTTTCTTGTACAACTACATACAAATATTTGAGCAATCATTGAATTTATATCCTCCATTCTGGTGCCCTTTCTGTAAACCCCTATGACAATTTGATGTTTGGAATCCTTTGATCTCTCCATCTATAAGTTGAGTGGCTTATAGAGCAACAGGCTGCAGAGGATGATAAATAAGTGATGTTACATAGGAAAATTAGGAAATGGGTGTGATATTTGTGTTTGGGACATTCTTCAACTGGAGATCAACCTCTCGCTTTATTTCCACGCTTCATTTCTGTGATCAAGCTAAGTTTTTTGAATGTACCATGTGATTTTTGCTCTTAATTAATTAAATTGACCCTGCATGTTTGATTGATTGTGCTTACATATGCAATATATCTTACACAGCGTGTCTTTTGGCTTAAGCGTAATCTAATCATGGCACACATAAAAAACCTCTCGAGGCTTTTTAAAATTTTTTCTGACCACTTCATGCTTTTATTTACTGTGAGCTTTTATCATAAATGTCAGGCAATTTTGAGGGCGCGAGTGGGTAGGAATGTAGATGGCATGGATCTTAATCTCTATCATCAGTCTCTGCAGCTCTTGAGAGACTTTCAAGCTGAGCAGATGAATAGCACGACGTCTTAGGGTAATATCTATTTATAGAAAAGATACAAGGTTAATATCAACTGTCAATTCTATCTGAAGATGAGAAAGATGAGAACAAAATATGGCTGTTTTTATTTTTCTTGCCTAATCGTATAGATGTTGGCTTCCTGTATCTATTTTGAGTGGAACTCAACTAGAAGCGAAGCAAAATATCTTTATGGAGAGGGAAGCCAATTCCTCCACAAAGCTAGTTGTTACCTTTTGCTTGTTACCCATTCCCTTGCATCTTTTCATTGATATATTCAATCAAATTTCTGCGATCTGCATTCTCTAGATATCTTTTGTATATTCTCATAAACTGTTTTAGCCAAGAGCATTACTTATTGGCCACATATTTTTAGGATGATAACATGGTCTTACCAGAAGTCTAGTCCATGGTCAATACTGCTATACCAAGCATTGCTTTATAGTTGACCATCATGTTCAGGAACTGCCAGCATCTCTGATAAGTTGTGAGCAGAAAAAGGTGTTGAGTTGGCAGTGAGGCTCAATTGCTGATCTTTGTTAATCACATCTCTTATTTGTTTGGAATGATTGATTGGCTAAGCATGCCAAATGTTTGTTTGAGTTTGATATCACTTACAGCAATATAGACTTAACAATTGCAGTTGGTTTGATGTATGATAAATTCTACTGGGTGGATTCCTATATCCTGCCATGAGGAGCTTTAAGATGTCTTCAACTTAAAACGCTCCCCAAGTTTGTTTACAATAGCTGTAAAAGTTGTGCAAGATTTGTCACTTGCTGCCTTGCATTGTATTAAAGCTATTGAGTAACCCCTCCCCCCCCCCCCCACTCTTTCGAAGAGAGGGGGGTGATTGGGCAAGGGATGGACTGGGTGATTTGGAGGAGAGAATGTAAGTGAGGGATCTCGGGTTCGAGCCCTCTCACTTACACTAAAAAGAAAAAGAAAAAAGAATGCTGTTGAGTAGTTGTTTAGATGCGATCATATATTGGGATCTTATTGAACTTGTGTGTTTGTTGAGCTGCCAAACCTTTTTGTCTAAGCAAAATCCAGCTGAAAGTTGGAGCATTGAGTGCATTAGCAAATCTTTAACCAAATGGAGCATGCTGATTAAACGTGTTGTGGACTTTCCCCCCTGTAGAACACGTGTAGCATGTGGAACTGTCACGATAGTTCTTTCGATTTTGTGACTTCATATGCTCGGGAGGAAAAAATCTCGACCTTCATGTGTCTCTGTGGTAGAAATTGAACTGTATCATTGTTTCATGTAATCACTTCATCTAGTATTCTATTAGAATAAGACAACATCGTATATGGTCTGGTCCCTAGATATTGTCAAGGGTTCGGTACTTGGATTTGCAGTGTCAAGTAGGCACAAGGCGGGCATTCCAGTCCTAGACAGTAACGTACTCCGAACCCCCAACACGTAATACACTCGAACTTGGTGTGGCTCAGCCTCTCCAAGAGGAAAGAAAGTTGAACTTTGCGAAAGCTGTTTTTACACAAACAAACTGGACAGAGACCTTCCAACTATGTAAATCAATAATTAGCTAGCTAGTTGGACGTGTAAACGTCTTCAATTCTTCTACTCGCTAGTTGATGGATGCCGACATGCGCTGTAGAATCCATTTCTTCCCAGCTGCTTTTCCATACCATGGCCACTTTCAAGTCAAATTATGCCTTTTGTTAGGCCTACTAAAAAAAAAAAAAAAAGATAGTAATGTTTTCCTAATATAAAAATTCAATACATGCAGATGTGCGTGTATTGAATTTTAAGTTATTTAAATTCATATTATGTAACATAATCTAAATCTGCTTGCGCTAAATAAAAAATAAAAAAAAAAGAAAAAATTTTACATTGATAGTATATAAAAAAAATTATTCTTATTCCTAATACTATGTGTCGCGTGTCATCTAAATAGTGAATTAAAAATTCTCATATCATGTCTGTCCTGCATTGACTTTGTCATACTAATTAACCTTTTGCTACGAGCTTCTAGCAGGAACCACCACAAACCAAAATGTTCCTATAATTTCAACCATTTAAAATTAGCGCTTGATAAAATACTACAGAATGGTGATGCAACTTGTGAGACTGGGTATCACCCTCAAGTCTTTCTTTAATTACCTAAATAAATATAGAAGGAATACCGATATTAACATTTAATATTGAACGGTGACATATAATATGTTACCAACTGCTCTTCCAATTGCCAAGCTGAGTCTGCAACATTTTGAACCATCAAGATACTTTATTTTAGTGCTTACCCCTAATATTCTATGCATTTGCATCATTATCCAAATCCATACCCATTAATTTATGCTTAATTGCTTGATTAAATTGTAATTAGCTTTTAACAATGCTTGGTCGTTATTAATTTGACATCTTAAACTAGAAGGTTACTCCAACATTGACCTCCATTACCCTCCAGAAAAAGACTTAGTGAAAGAAAGGCTTTTCGATAGGAAACGAAGAATGGTGATTAAGAAAATCATTGTTAAATTTCTAAAATGGCCAGCTTTTGATTGGATTTTGGCTGTTAAACAAAGGGGTCGTTTTGTACTTCTATCATTCCCCGATGGCGCGTCTGCATTAAAGCAATACATGACTCTATATATTACGCTGCAACTCGTTGTTTGAGGAAGAGACTAGAATGGAGTGTAAGCCATCTCAAGGGTCTCCTGCTCCCTTACATATCAATCTGACTAGCCGAATTTTCCCCGGAGCTGGACGGAAAATGGGTTCTTGCTGTGGATTTCTAGAGTTTCAGAATTTCTTTCTTGGTTAAGTTAAAGAGCCGGCCGCAAGTAACAAGTGGTGCGTATCATCTGTCCGTCCTCTCATATATTCTTTGACTTCTAAGATGTTATGCATAACTTTCCCTATGTGGTTGATGAATATTCATTATTGTTTAGAATTGGATTCAGTGGTTTTTCGCTGTGAATGAAAAGGAGGACGATGGATTCATTTGTTGAGAAATCTTGGAGAAGAAGAGGGTAGAAGGTTGATTGGAAAATTACGAGTTCTCGCTTTGTTTTGAGAGTTCTGAAACTGAAGCTATCATTCTTTATAAAAGCCAAAAACAACCAAGTCTCTATAAAGTGTAAATTGGCACCTAGCATATTACTTTCTTCAAACATGGAGGTATTCGTAACATGAGTGGATGGTAGAACTATTCTTGCACAGTTTCTTTGCCAACAAAATAAAGGAAAAACAAGCATGCTTTTAAACTGTAGAATTCCAGAAATTCTCCATTAGAACCTTGCTGACAGCTCAGGAAAAGACAGATGAAGGATATTTCTCATGTCCTCGTGGGGTTTTAGCTTATAAAAGCATAAACGTAACATGATTACTGAAAATTGATCTTTTTACTTATCAAGCCCTTTTTCCTATCAGAATGGACATGCAAAGATTGAAAGAAAATGAAAGCATCCATCACTTTTGCCTAAATAAAGTTCAAAGTACAGTCAACATGAATAAATGCCTCAAAGAAATATTTAAGCTCTTCGTTTTTCATCAATAAAATTGAGAGATAAATTATCCCCAATCGTCATTTATTTATTCACTTTGGGTTAATAGAACATGTAGCTGTACTTGCCAATTCAGAGAAAAAAGAATAACAAAGAGTTCTGAAATGAAGCTAAAAATTTTAGTGATCTCAACTAACTTTTAGATGATTTTTTCCAGTACAATAAGATCTATTTTCAAGTAAAGTGAAATTTTGCAGTAACATCAGCTTGTGCAGGACAATCATTAGAGAAGATGGTGCAGTTTACCACTATCCTTTCAACTTTGGCAAAAAATATTTCTATTAGGAGTGGTAGAAAGAGTAGACTTGGTGTTGGGAGGGATGCTGCAGATACTTTGGCCAAGGAAGCAAGAAAAAATGAAATGATGTTGACTTCTTCGGGCATTGTCAATGCAAACAGGACCAGTAATATGGCTTCAGCTTATTCTAAGAAGGGGAAGAAAGGAATAAATCAGGATCGCTTTATTGTCTGGGAGGTATGTAGATTACAATCCACAATACACTATACTAATGAAACAATCTGTAGTTTTTAAGATTTTGTTTATTGATGAGATTGGGTTACCTTTTTTAGGAGTTTGGATGCCAAGAGGACATGATATTCTGTGGCATTTTTGACGGGCATGGTCCTTGGGGACATCTTGTGGCCAAGACAGTGAGGCAATTGATGCCATCCTTTTTGCTGTGCAATTGGCAAGAAACTCTTGCCCAATTTGTCGTGAAACCAGATAGTGATGAATTTGGATCATCAGATGGATGCCGCTGCCAGTTTGACATATGGAAGCAGTCTTACTTCAAGGCTTGCTCAGCAATTGATTATCAACTTGCTCAGCTTCCAGGGATTGATTCTTTTTATAGTGGTTCAACAGCTTTGACAATTGTCAGACAGGTTATCAAATTTATTGTTTTTGGATTTGTAAATCAATCAGAATATGGTGATGGTGACTTCAAATTTGTACATCCAATAGTGGATTTCTTATTTCTGAATCATTTCTTTTGATGAATTACAGGGTAATCTCATTGTTGTTGCAAATGTTGGTGACTCTCGGGCTGTGTTGGCAACAACTTCTGGTGATGGCAGCTTGGTTCCAATTCAGCTTACTGTTGACCTGAAGCCTAATTTACCTCGTGAGCTCTCTCTCGTACGCTCTCTTTCTTTCTCCATGAGTTTTCCCCATAGTTATGCAGGTGTCTCTTTCTCATGTTACAGAGGAAAGCGAGCGAATTACACAGTCAAATGGAAGGATATGTTCCTGTCATGATGAACCGGGGGTATACAGAGTTTGGATGCCAAATGGAAACACACTTGAAGGCCCCGGATTAGCAATATCAAGAGCCTTTGGTGACTACTACATAAAAGACTTTGGTCTAATTTCTGAACCAGAATTAACACAGAGAAGGATAACAGACACAGATCAATTTGCCATTTTGGCAACAGATGGTGTATGTTCTGCCCTTTTTGTTTCTTTACTCAGCATCATGTAAAAAGTAGAGACTTCTCTGAGGAGGAAAACTTTAGCTAGTAGGCTGGTTAAGGATATTTCTTTTTGTACTGCTCATCCCACGAGGTTGGAACATAATCTAATGTCCTCCATGTTCTCTGTTGGTAGGTGTGGGATGTCATCTCTAACCAAGAAGCTGTGGACATAGTATCTTCAACACCTGAAAGGGAAGAATCGGCTAAGAAGCTGGTAGAATCAGCAGTCTGTGCATGGAAACGCAAGAGACCAGGTATCGCGATGGATGACATATCAGCCATCTGCCTTTTTTTTCACGACTCTTGTCCCTCACAAGAATTTGATCCTTTGAAGCTTAGTAAGAAACTTGCATGAAACACCACAAGGAGAGATGCATTTGCTGCAGCCTCGCTTTCTTGATGTAGATGAATTTGCTATCATTCCAGGCCTCTGTCTTTGTAAATACATGGGAACAGTTATGAGCTGAATGACCCGAAAACATAAAAGTTTTTGTGATAGTATGTTCTGTGAAGATTGTGATGCATCAAGATTAAGGTAACATCACCAATGAGCCAACAGGATTGCCAGGTCAATCCTATGCGTACAGGAAGGATATCCTCCGAATACGTGTAGTCTTTTCAAAAATAAAATCAACCAAGATCGCTGTCCATGTGTTGATTTCTCTCTGCATCAAAACTCGGTCAAGATTAAATCAAGAATGGTGGAGAAAGGAGTTAATATGACATACACCAAAATAGTGTAGCTTGCTTCCCTTGAATCATTGAGGTAGCA